AGCTTTGTATGGGCTCAGACTCAAGATGGTGCACTTGGTGCAAACGCTGCAGCATTGCATGATATTCGACGTGGTTGAACCTGCCTGGCGGGAGATGATGACGAGAATTGGGCAGGTTAGTTGATTTTTGTCTGATCTTCGAACACGAGTGCCGCCCATTAATGCAATGAAATACTTTACTGTATATGATCTGGCAAAGAAAGTAAGGAGAATGCATCCTTGGAATTTGTATTTTTAGAAGATCAGTTTCTTGAATATGGTAAAAAAAACCTGAAAAGATCAGAAATGAAAGGTCGGAAGATGTGCAGTCGAATTTGAAATAGTGTTCCCAGTCATTTATTTCGAAAATCTTATAACAAATTATTCCTTATAACAAAACTTTTTCTGAAGTTTCCACAACTTTGTTGTCACGAAATTTTACTGTATATGATGTTCGCAGTCATTAATTTTAAAAATTGTGGTGCAACAAACTTTTTCTGAAGTCCCCTCAAGTTTATTGTAACAAGATTTAACTGTATAACAATTTAAAAGAGAAGAAAGTTTAGCGCATTTAGATCTTGGCCCCATTTTTATTTTAATGCGTGATCCAATCAATTTTGGAATCCTATTTTTTGCGACGAATTGAAATTGTGTGATATAAAAAAAACGAAAGCTTAAAAGTCCGTCAACGTTACCTAGTTCACTAGTGTTACGTGTTCCTAAAGTAGCTGCGAACAGAGTTCCTAACATACGACTGAATGGGAGCCCACGAAGTTTATAATTCCCGCATCTTCAATGTTTGCATGGAGTTCTGTAACTTGGTAGAAGTATGTATTGTACTGGACAATACAGCATTTCTTTCCTTTCCTGTATATTATAAATTATTGAGCGAACTTTTTCGCCTGTAGAAATCTGCTGGAATCGATGGCGTCAAATTCGACAAGAATGAGGAGCTGAGAGTGGAAAAATTGGATGTTGCGTTTTCAACCCTCGCGTTGGAATTGATTAATTTGGCTTCTGATGACGCTGGTGTCATCAGTGCCACGGTGAAAAACATGCTGCGAAGGTGCGTTCGAATTTTCTCGCTTGGCTAGAGAATTGCAAATTAATTTTTTGTCAATCTTTCTCACAGGCTAAATTACAACGCGCATTACTCAGATGTTCAGTGAGCTTCGTGTCGGAAACTGGAGTAGGCTGCAAGTGATGTTCAATTTCCCACCTCCGTCGCGTTTAA